AATTTTACGACGAATTTTATACAAAAACACTTAATTTTTAATATATACCTAAACTAGTATATTGTACCTCCGGTTGTTTAGGAGTTATGAATGTTTCAACAGCGGACTGTTACATTAAAATTGTTGGAACTACTTTTTAAAGCTCCTCTTATTAACGTAAAAGTCTGCTCTCCTTATATAATGGTTTTAAAAATTGGTACAGAGTTTCTTAGCTTAAGGATGGAACTCAAGAACTACGTATTCATTGAATTGATAGAAAAAAATAGTCGGACTGTTACGTTACAAAAAAAGACTGTTATGTTACCTTTGCGATATACATACGTGTAGATTATAATTAGGCTTTTAAATAGCTTGTAGTCTGTTTACATGAACGAAAGACACAAGATCACGCGGGAAGGAAAGAAAGAAAAAAGTTATTTTCTAGCTGCCGAAATCTCGACGTCATCTTTGTTGTAAGAAGTAGACAACGAAGAGAACGGAGAAAACCGCGCTATTGTTGAACGCATGAATAATCATTTTCATTATGAAAATTCGTCTATAAATCATGTCGTTGTGTTAAATTATTCTTTATCTTATGTGTACACATGTTGTCACAGGCGAAAATGAAGAAAATTGCAGTAAAAAGCCACCACCAAATTGTAAACAACGAAGAAATGTAAACAAACGGCTAATGTCAAAATCGTCAAACTTTTCTCCTAAATGCGATTCTAACGGGCTACTCTCCTGCAGGCGTGATCTTGTCTTTTTAGTTCATGGTCTGTTTATGGGAGTGCAATGGTGTGTAGTCGTTGAGCTGGGTATGCGGTTACAGTTGCATGGCTATACTCAATCCCGACTCTTGCGTCCTTGTTCACGCTCTCTGGGCAACGTGAGCAACCCATGTGCAAGATGTGGTAACCAATCCGAGTGGAGCCTTGGTTCACGGTAGAAAGAGAGGGGGCCCACTGAAGTCTGCAGCGTTTGTTAGCGAATAGGTGCGGCTGCAAGCGGCTCGCTATATAAACGTGTTGCGAAACCAACCCCGTCCCAGCGATGGGTTGGGCGCTGGGTTTGAGACCCGCCACGTAAAAACCACTTCCAGTGAAGAAGCAAGGTAAAGCCTCGGCTGACCCCCTCCCCCCCTTATGACGTTTAAAGGACTACGATTTGAGGGCATGCACCTGGAATGTCCGGACCCTTAATTGGGAAGGTGCCTCTGACCGGCTGGTTGATGTCCTCGTAAGGACAAAAGCTGACAGCACCGCCATCCAAGAAATGCGTTGGACGGGGCAAGGCAAGCAATGTCTGCGGCCTTGCTACGTCTACTACAGCTGCCATGTAAAGGAGCGAAAATGCATCATCAAAGTGAGATTCTTCAACATCTCGCTCATCTGCGCCCATGCCCCGACGGATGAGAAAGATGAGGCATCCAAGGATCTCTTCTATGAGCGCTTGGAGGGTACGTGCGGCCGCTGCCCCTGTCATGATATCAAATTGTGATTGGCGACTTCAATTCCAGGGTAGGCAAAGAAGGGATCTTTAGAACCACTGTCGGAAAATTCAGCCTCCACGACGAAACGCCCCACAACGAATTCAGGCTGATCGACTTCGCCGGGGCCCGAAACATGGTAGTATGCAGTACTAGGTTCAAGCATAAAAAGATCCATCAAGCTACGTGACTGTCTCCGGATCGAAAAACGAGAAACCAAATCGACCATGTTCTGATAGATGGAAGGCATGCTTCCAGTGTTTTGGACGTACGTACACTCCGAGGTCCAAACATCGACTCGAACCACTTTCTTGTTGCAGGCCGTACTCGTGTAAGCACAACAATGGCGAAATAGTTACCGATGTTCAGAACGTACTTAAATTACGCTACTGAATGGTATCAGCACGTACGCTACTGAATGGTAGCAGCACTGAAAGTTGTAGAGAAGAAGAACCCGAGACACTAGTCGATGATGACGGAACCGATGTTCCTCCGCCTGCCCATGACGAGGTACGAAAAGCAATAAAGCGGCTGAAAAACAACAAAGCTGCTGGAGCTGACAGCCTGTCAGCTGAGCTATTCAAGTACGGTGGCGAGGAGTTGATAAGGTGCATGCATCAACTCTTATGCAGAATATGGTCAGATGAACGCATGCCCGACGACTGGAACTTATGGGTGCTCTGCCCAATTCACAAGAAAGGCGACCCCGCCATTCGCGCCAATACCTCGGGATCAGCCTTCTAAGCATAGGTTACAAGGACTTATCGAGCGTTTTGTGTGAAAGATCGAAGCCCACCGTCAATGAACTAATTTGGTCAGTGTGGCTTTAGGCCTGGGAAATGTACCATAGACCAGGTTTTCACAATACGCCATATCTTGGAAAAGACCCGCGAGAGAAGGATCGACACTCACCACCTATTTGTCGACTTGTCTGAATTTGGCATCCCCTCAAAACTCATACGGCTGTGTAAAATGACATTGAGCAATACCACCAGCTCCGTCAGAATTGGGAAACACTTCTCCGATTCGCTCGCCCCCAAACGGGATTTCAGACAGGGCGACTACCTTTCATGTGACTTCTTTAATCTAATGTTAGAGAAGATAATAAGAGCTGCAGGTAACCAGCATTAACACCGATAACAATGTCAGCATGGAAATCCAACGCAGAATCACTCTTTCCAACAAGTGCTACTTTGGACTGAGTAGGCAATTCTTGAGTAAAGTCCTCTCTCGACGTACGAAAACCACGCTCTATAAGTCACTCATCATGCCCGTGCTGTTATATGGGGCAGAAGCATGGACAATAACAACATCCGATGAGGCGGCGCTTGGAGTATTCGAGAGAAAGATTTCGCGGAAGATTTACGGGCCGTTATGCGTTGGCGACGGCGAGTACCGCAGACGATCGAACGATAAGCTGTATGAGCTTTACAACGACATGGACATAATGCAGCGAATTAAAATACAGCGGCTCCGCTGGCTTGGCCATGTCGTTCGAATGGACGCCGAGGCTCCAGCTCTGAAAGTATTCAACTCGGAACCCGCTGGTCGTAGCAGCGGAAGAGGGAGGCTCCCACTGCAATGGAAAGATCAGGTGGAGAGGGACTTGGCGTCAGTTGTCACAGAAAAAAACGACTTGCTGAACTCGGCCAAAATCGCTTAGGCGGTTACAGCGCCAAAAAAGAAGAAGACGAAGTCTCTTTTATGCAATAAGTAGCATGAATTCAGTAACCTTGCGATTTGACATCAATCAATTGCATTTTCCTGCATGTATTTTCAACTACTTTAAAATGCATTTGGCTTAAACAACTTCAAAGTCAGTATGTTACGTTTGAATACGCTTTCGTTCTTATTATTTTCACATGTTGCCTCTGTTGGGACGCGAACCCGGACCTT